TTTTTCAAGCACCATTTATTAAAAAGGCTTTCTTTCGTCCAGTGAATATGTTTGACCCCTTTGTCAAAGATAAGATGGCTGAGTGTGTTTGTAGTTGTGTCTGCATCTTCGAATCTGTCCCATTGATCTTCAGGTCTGTTTTTTGCCACTACTATGCTACACTGATTTTATCACAGGAGCTTTGTAGTGTAATTTCAAGTCAGGAATTGTATTGCTGCTTGCCTTGGTTTTGTTGGCCAGGATTGCTTTTGCTCTTCTAGGCCTCTTCTGGTTCCAGATGAATTTTAGGAATGTTTTCTCTAATCTGTCAGGTATACTAATGGTATTTTAACTGGGATTGCATTGACTCTGTACTACAATTTTGAGAGTATGGCCATTTTCATCATGTTGGCTCTTCCTATCCATGAGCAAGGAAAATCTTTCCACTTTCTGAAATCCTCTTTGATGTCTTTTTTCAGGGTACTGTAATTTTTACTGTACAGATCTTTTACTTCTTTTGTTCGGTTGATTCCTAAGTATTTCAAGTATTTTTAGATGCTATTCTGAATGGTGTGGTTTCACTAATTTCTCTCTCAGTCCTTGCTGTTGCTGCCCAGTCCCTGGGAGATGGAGAGCGTGCGGTTGTCCTGGGCACTGCTGCTGTACAGTCCAACGGAGAAGGAGATCGCGATGCTGTCCTCAGAGCTGTAGCTGTCCAATTTCTCAGAGACGGAGACTGAGACACTGTCCTCTGCGCTGGCGCTGTAAGGTCCCTTGGGAACAGAGCTTGAGATGTGCTCTTCAGTGCTGTTGATGTCCAGTCCTTCAGGGAGGAAAGAATTCAAAGAAAAAGAACTACCAAAAAAGAACTTGATGCAAAGGTACTTTGTGTAGTAATAACTATTGCAGTTAATATACCTTCTGTCATAAGATGAGTTAATGTTTTAAAGGAAAGGAAATGAGTGCTTAGCCACTCACCATCTCAATTATTTTAGTACAGAATGACCCAAAATTGCATTTTTCATTCATTTTCTGTAAGATAACATAACAGGAAATATAAAAATGACAAGTAGCAGTCTATCTCATGCAAACCCAACTGATTGGTTCATTGTTGAATTCCTACCATTTTGTTTGGTGAAACTCTCTATCGTTTCTAATGGTTTTTTAAAATTCTTTTTTTATTCTTTTTAAATGTTTGATCAATCTTGCATTCTTATATCTGGTAATCTGAGCAACTTCATCAAAGATAACACTATATAAAATATTTTTAAAAAAGAATTGACTGGTCAAAATGACACCTGCCTGAGCGATACTTGGGACAGTCAGTGGGTAAATAAATGCATTGCCTGAGTGACACTCGGAGTAAATTGTTAAATGTTTAAAAGTAAAAATTTCTTCAGAGAAAAACATGCTAAAATTGTAAATGTTGGCAGTATCAGTTAACTGCATCTTTGACTTATACATCAGAACTGTTAGCATTACCTTCTGAAGTATGCTCAGAACATTTGGATCTGCACTTCTTTTTTAATAATAATGAAGATGATAAAGATTTTATGGACAAAGGTTATCAAATGCAATTGAGGTTATCTGGATAGAAATTCTGATTTGTCATACAGCTTTCATATCTAATTAGCATTATAGTAAAACTGTATTTAAACTAGCTCATATAGGATTTTTTTTCTTGTAGTATCTGACTTTTATAGATTGGGTAGCACAAATCACATTTTCATTGGCTGCAAATATCAAGTGGACAAACAAAAGAGAAACTACACAGAAGAGGAGGATCACATTTTCAATGCAGCAGCCAAACTTCATTAGCTTGGATTTGATAAGGCAGATGTGTATGAGGAACTGCCACAGTGGATTCGCAGTTCTCAGTGGTGAGTGCTCAGGATTTTTCATGTCCTGTAGCCAAGTTCAGAAAAAGGGTTGTTTTTCTTTTCTTTCCCTCTTTTTATTTTGGTGGTGCTGGTGATTGAACTCAGGGCTTCATGCATATTAGACAAGCACTCTGCCATTGACCAGCATCACCAGGCCAGAATAATTATATTCTTTAAGGTAACTTTAAAAAAAAAATTTGAGGTTTTTGTTAAAATATTTCCTAATATTATAATTAAATAATTTGCTTAGATTAAATATTCATGCCCACAGCTTAAAAATCAGTTTATTGGTCTCATTCAATATTATACAACTTTCAACATCACTGCATATGATAGGAGTGATTTTTATATCAGTATTAATTAGACTCTGAAAGGAAACTTCTGAACATGATGACTTTTTTGGTGTTGCAAATGGACAGATTTCTATAGAGTGAAATTATCTTTATATGTTATCTTCTAAAACATATCTTCATTTAAAAATTGAAATCAAGGCAACTTGTAGATGGAAAATACATTATCATGTACATTTGTATCTTTAACTCAGGAAGTCCAAAGGAGATGTAATATCTTAATTACATGTATTGAAAGAGAAAACATGAAACTAGAAGGAAATGAGAAGCCCCAGAAAAAGTAACATGGACCAAAGCCTTCAGTAAGTATTCATGAACACAGGCAGATGTACAGATTGGAAAATTTCGGTTTTTTTTTCTTTCTAAGAATATTACTTGGCTATTGATGTGTAAGTGGTTTTGGTTTCATTTTTGTAAATAGCACAGTTGAGCCACGTAAAGTAAAAATTTAATTTGATTGCATTAGGAAAATGTCATAATAAAGGTTCTTAAACATCTGGGGAGGTATATGTCATGAATGCTAAGAGTGCACTTCTTTTGTGAATGCCATAATTTTAGAATCATTTAAAGAATACTAGGAAAACTTTGGTTGGACTTATAAACTTTACTATTAGCTTCTGAGCTGTGACTGATTGTCCCAGGGATGTCTTATTAATGTGAAGGCAAGCATTCTAAGGAGAACAAAGTTGCCTTTTAATGCTATGTTACTATAAAGTGTTTGTGAATGTAGTTCATGTTTACATTAGTCTTGTCATGAAAAGTACTGTCTCTGCTTGTTTGTAGACACAGAAGTGTAAAATGAATGGAGCACCTGATGGCTGCAGAAGAAAATGAAGCTGAAACTATGAATACATATTTGTTTCATAATCAAAATTTAAGTGCTCATTACATGTGTTGTACAATGCTAATTGTCATGACATTTATAGGAATCAGATTCATCTGTCTGTTGTAATATATAATGTAGTTTCATTTTTAAATGCATCAGCTTTGCTGAAATTTTGTATCATCAACACAAAGTAATAAAATAAGCTTTATTTATTAATAAATGTTTCATTTATTTTTCTTATAGTTCCACTAGCAAAGATTGTGATTTTTGTTTATCAGCAAACTTTTACACACTTGTAAGACTTAAGAACTATCAAACAAAAAGGTGCAAATAACACTTGTCCCTTCAGTCTTCCTTAGATATGTAATTGTTTTAGTTCACAATGCCTTTCAGGAATTTGAATATTTTCTTGATGTGCTGTTGAATATCATCTGGATAGATTATATAAACTCAATTCTCCTTGATTATTACAGAATAAGGGAAAAGGCAACACAAACTGTAATTAACTTCTATACACATTTCTGATATGTTTTCTCTTTCTATGATTGGTTCTGAAATGAATATGCCCTATTCTGTTGGAAGAATAGCCTTTTGGTTGTACACACAAAGACATTTAGTATTTGCTAGTTCTTTTAGGTGCTATACCATTTTTGAAAGGAATTTTTTAAAGTATGCGATAAATATTTTGATCAATGATCTTTGCAAGCAGCCACAACTTAGAATGATAATGTCAGAACTTAAGTGATTTTTTTTTTTTATAGGAAGACCCAGCCAAAATGAATTGTGAATTTGTCATACTGTTAAAATTTGTAACAACTTGGATTCCCTTCCAGCTTAGAGTATTTTTCAGTCACAGAGTAAATGAAAATTCTATTAATATATTTTAACATAATTTCTAAATGTTAGCAGCAACACTGAATATAATTCCAGTTTTTATTTTGTATGGAACAGATTAATAAACCAGAATCACTGAGGCAGGAATGCCCAAATCATAGTGTCAGGATTTCACCTGCTCCAGAGGCCTTTATGTGCTGTACATTATTTGTATAAAGTTTTGTATCTGCAAGTTGGGCACATAAACAGTTCTTCATTTTTTTAAGGAAACAGGATAAATGTAGCATCATGAATAAATCTTTTAATCTTTAAAGTGGTCTTAAAGAAATCACCAATACAGTAAAATGAAAACCTACAATTGGGAAAAAATTTTAGCCAACTGCCCCTCAGACAAAGGACTTTTATCAAGGACATATAAAGAATTTTTAAAAATCAGGGTGGACAGGCTGTAGGGAAAAAGGAACTCTTCTTCACTGCTGATGGGAGTATAGATTGATGAAACCACTGTGGAAATCAGTTTGGAGATTCCTCACAAAGCTAGGATTGGAAGTCCCACTTAACCTAGCTATTCCCTGTTAAGTCATAAGGCAACCTCCCCCCACGGGGGACTTAAACTCTCAATAATAAAAACCCCTTCCTCTTCACTTGTTCCCCTCCAGTTCCCCTTGACAAAAGCCAACCCTGCCCTCTTCCGCCTTGGCAGAACCAGACATTCAACTGTGACAATCAACACACTCCCCGCTCAGGCTGTTCTGGCCCATGGACATCCCCCTAGAAAATGTTCTGACCCGTGGACACCCTCCCCGGAAAATAACTTTAAAACCCCATGCTTTGCTCAGCTCAGGGCTGTCCTAGTCCACTGGGCAGCCTGCCATGTCGCTCTCCCCCCAGTAAAGACACCTTTAGTGTCAGAAGGTCTGGTCTGGTTCTGTGTAGGTCTTGGCCCGATCATTTGGTGCCAAACCCTGGGAGGGACACCAAGGCTCCAGCCAGTCCCTCCCAAGTGAGGACCCCTCCCCAGATCCATGACTGACCACCTCTGAAGTGGACCTCGAGCCTCGGACCTGCCTCATTTCCGACCTCTCCATCCACACATCGCTCCCTCCTAACCGTAAGTCCTCTTTCTCCTGCCTTCTTTTCCTTCTTTCTCCTCACTCTCCTCTTCCAGACTTAAACCTTCCTCTTTGCGTCTCTCCCTGAAGACCCCTCTGTCCCACTTCTCAGATGGCTCGTTCTCCCAGCTTCACACCCCTGGCCTTTATGGTCCCTCCCCAAATCGTGTCAACACATCGAGCTGTTCCTTCCCTTCTCATGACCCCCCTCCCCAGCTGGAGATGTCTGCTAAGGGGGCCTGGGTCTCCCGTCCCATTTGGTACTTCTCTTGGTCTTCAGTCTCCTCATTCTCTGTTCTCTCGCCTCTCTTTTGGTCATCATGGGCAACACCTCCTCCCTCCCCTACTCTCCCAATGCCTCTGTGCTCCATTGCCTCAAGTATGTTCTCCACAGCCCCCTCGGCCTCTCCGATCTCAAAGTCAATCACCTCACCTTCCTCTGCCAAACTGCCTCGCCAAAATACAAACTAGATAATGGGTCTGTTTGGCCACCTGAGGGTACTCTCAACTTCAATGTCCTGTGGGACTTAGACAATTACTGTGGCAGCAATGATAAATGGTCTAAGGTGCCTTATGTCCAAGCTTTCTTCGCTCTCCCTAACAAGCCTCAACTCTGTCTTTCCTGTAGCCCCCAGAAGATTCCCCTAGCCAAATCCCCCACCTCTCAACACTACCTCTCCCATGACCTTTCCCAAACTTACCCCTTCCCTGAGCCGCTTAATGACCCGCCCCTTAGGCGACCATCAGCCTCTCCCCAGGCCAACCCTGATGCCCCCCTCTGCTGTACCGCCCCGCTGTGAGCTTAACCCCAGCGTCACCTCTCCCTTCCCCACCTGCCTCCCACACCTGCTCCAAAACTGCATCAGCTGCTCTGCCTGCTCTTCCCCTCCCCGCCCCATCTGGGCTTTTCCCTCTGAGACAAGTGGCAGGAGCAGAGGGACTCATCTATGTCCATCAACCTTGGTCTCTCCCCGATCTTTCACAACTTGAAAAGTGCCTCGGCTCTTTCACTTCTGACCCCTCCTCATATATCAATGAGTTCCAATACCTGACCCAAATGTACCAACTTACTTGGAATGACCTCTACACTCTTCTCTTGTCCACCTTCACCCCAGAGGGAAAAGAAACCATCTGACTAGCCACCCAGGCCCATGCAGATGAGATGCGCTGTGCGGATCAGACCTTCCCCTGAGGGAACAGGCAGTTCCTAGGGTTGATCCCTGATGGGACTACCAGCCTAACACTCCAGGTCCTCTAGCCGGAGATCGAA